GAGCATAATTGGACGCATTGCTTTATTTTTGCTCCATTGTGATCTTCTGCTTCCAAAGAGCCCCTGTGCTTTACACCTTTACAGGACTGTCTCAGAAAATTAGAATATTGTGATAAAGTTCTTTATTTTCTGTAATGCAATTAAAAAAACAAAAATGTCCATTATGCACTCAGTACTTGGTGGAATCCTTTTGGCACGCGATTACTGCATCAATGCGGCGTGGCATGGAGGCAATCAGCCTGTGGGCATTGCCTGAGGTGTTATTGATGCCCAGGATGCTTCAAATAGTCGGCCTTTAGCTCATCTAGCATTTGTTGGGTCTGGTTGTCTTTCAGCTTCTTCTTCCAATACCCACATATTCTCTATGGGGTTCAGGTCAGGGGAATTTGACAGGCCAATTCGAGGACAGTAATGCCATGGTCAGTAACCAGTTATCTGGGGTTTTGGCACTGTGGGCAGTGTGCCAGATCATGCTGGAAAATGAATTCCTCATCTCCATAGAGCTTTTCAGCAGACGGAATGCATGTAGTTGCTCTAAAAATCTCTTGGTACACGCTGCATGTACCTCTGGGCTTGATGAAACACAGTGGACCAACACCCAGCAGCTGACCATGACCTCACCACAAACACATCCGCTGACGTGTGGGTAACTTCACACTGGATTTCAAGCCAACTTGCTCCTCTCTCCCAGCCCTTTCTCCCAGACTCTGGCGCCTTGACTTCCAAATGAAATACAAAACGTTGCTTTCGTCTGAAAAGAGGACTTTTTTGACCACTGTGCAACTGTCCAGTGTTCTTTTCCTTAGCCCCAAGTCAAGACGCCTCTTCCGTTGTCTTGAGTTCAGAAGTGGCTTGACCATGGGAATACGGCTATTGTAGCGCCATTTCCCGGACACGTCTGTGAACAGTGACTTTTGGATACCTGGACTCCAGCTTCAGTCCACTGTCTTTTGAAGCTCCCCCAAATCTTGGAAACGACTCTTCTTCACAATGGCTGTTAGGCTGCGGTCATCTCTCTTGCTTTTGGGTTGTGCAGCGTTTCCTGCCACAATTTCCCCCCTTCCAAAAGACTTTCTGTGGATGTGCCTTTGAAACTGCACTTCTGTGAACAGCTTGCTCTTTTGAAGAAATTTCTTTTTGTGTCCTTACCCTCCTGATGGAGGGTGGTTCAATGACGGTCCTCCGGACAGGCAGTCAGATCAGCAGTTCTTCCCATACTTGTGATTTAGTTTACTGAACCGAAGCTGAGTGTTTTTTCCAAGGCTCAGGAACCCTTGCAGGGTGTTTCGAGTTAAATTAGACGATTCAAGTGATTTCGTTGAACTCCCTACTAGTGGTATACTTTTCATGATATTCTAATATTTAGAGATAGGATATTTGAGTTTTCTTAAGCTGTATGCCATAATCAGCAATATTAAAATAATAAAAGGCTTGCAATATTTCAGTTGATTTGTAATGAATCCAGAATGTATGACATTTTTGTTTTTTTAATTGCATTACAGAAAATAAAGAACTTTATCACAATATTCTAATTTTCTGAGACAGTCCTGTATATATGTGTGTACTTATCAGTCTTCTCTTGTCGATGATATGAAGTTGTAAATAAACCATTGATGGATGGCACATTTGTTTTGTTATTTATTCTTATGTCAAATGTCCTTTTCAGTTCTTTTTAATCAAATTTAGTTAAGGGCATCCTGTTTTATTTAAATGAATCTGGGTATACTTTAATACTATACAACCAATATGTTTTTGTCAACAAAAAAAGAGACATTTCGACAAAGTTTTTATTATTCAAACTACATTTCAGTCTTTATTTGTCAACAATATTGCATGTTAATGCAATCACAGTTACTCTATCATTACACCTTCACCTTCTCGACATTGTTTAGTCTTAGATGTCAAAAAAGTTTTTGGAGGAAACAATTTAGTCATTGTTTTTGTTGACCTTATTAACACTGGGAGCGCCCGACGGAAATTTCAGGAAGTAAATTTGTCCAGCTAAGAAAATTAAAACCAGAACATTTGTTTTATTTTGTTTGTTTAACAAGACAGCTATGATCAAATTCGTATCAATCTTCTGGTCTAAATCTTATTAAAAAAAAGCAAATGAGCGTACACCTCAAAATGACAAACTATTCCATTAACAGATGAACACTGCACACACAATCCTGATTTTGAACCCAAACGTCCAGTTGTAATCAACCAGCAGCAGCTATCGGACTGTGCATGCAAGTCCCATCTAATGAAGCTCCATTAGCTCCATAATGTGGTAAGCTCATCGCCTAATGTGCACCCTAATGGTGATAATTCCTTCCAGCCCTTACCAATGTGGACTGGTTATCAGTGTAATTGAATTCAAATGACCTCATGGCATTAGTCAAAACAAGTAGAAGGGGGATCACAGAAAGCTAACCCCGTTATTTTCCATTCCATTTGATCACACTGGAGCTCACCTCGTCTTTGTATTTGATAATGTAGGAGTAGATTTCGTGCAGCGCCGACATACTGTTGAACTGGCTGACGTGCAGGCGGGACTGCTCTGCCAGGTAGGCACTCATGTCCTGATCACTGATGACTGGCATGCGGGAGATATCCGAGTAATACCTAGAGGAGAGGTCAGAAAGAGTTTAATGTACCGAACCATTTTTATTCCATCCAAAACTTCACCTACTGGTTTGCAAACAGAGGCAGCTGGCGAGCACTTTCCATGTTGAATTGATGTTGCAGTATCTTTTTCAAGGACAAGAGGAGTGGACGGCAAATAAACGCCAAGGAAGTGAGCTGGCAGCTGAAGAAAGGGTTTTGTGGTGGCCAAACGGCGGTATTACAACTTCTGTCTGAGTCACCGATGTCATTAGGGCCCATTAAGACCTTTCCCATTGACTAACATTGTGATAAAGATGCTGTCTGGTCCCAGATCCCTTGATGATCCGTTTTGACTTTGTGCGCCACTGAGCAACTTTCATAGGAATAAACGGTGCCCCGCCTCCAATGCTGTTCCCAATTCCCTTTATACATGCCTGACTTTCTAAGATTAAACATATATGTTTTCAGTGCAAGTCAGTGTAAGAATATGGGATTTTTAGTTTAAGGTCTTTGTAGTCAGGGAGGTTCATTTAACTTTGCATAACTCCAGCTTTATATTTGACTACCCTTGTGAGAAATGAAAAATAAAGAGATATATGCCCGAGGCAATAACTGTCTGCTTTGAGTAACACCTCAGGCAAAACTGGTTTAGTTATGATAGTCAAGGTTTTAGATGATTTTTACATATTACAGTATAGGATAATCTCATTTAATTCCTATACATTTAAACTTTTTGGAATATACATATATATAAAATATATATATATATATATTATATTTAAATATTGTGAATAAATGCATTAGCCGCAACAATGTTTTTTTTTTACCAGACTCATACACTGGATTTAATAAGGAGCTCTCTATTTAGTGTTTATTTGAGATCTCATTACCATCTCTTCATTTATTCTATTTTTCATTATCGATATAATTTATCTAATGTATATACTATTGCAAAACTTATAGTGTATTTACAATACCATAAGTAGAATAACATATCTTATATTGTTAAAGTTGTTATTCTCTTTCACTTTCACATTTGTATGGTTGAATTCCTTGTCTTTTCTTTTTGTGCATTCGAAACAAATATCAGTCGATAATAAAAGATGTAATGGAGTGTACTGACAGAGAAGATTCAGCCTTCGTCTCTTTCCTGATCATACCTTGTTATTATGTCTGAGAGCATTATTGAGGTCCATGCGGTCTGAGCAGCAACAAGCTTCGCATTATCCTCCGAGTAAAACGTCTATTGGACTTGCGGCGGGCAGAATACAATAGAGTATATTAAGAGTATATCCTGATATTGAGCTGAACCCAGACCTGTTTTGCAGAATCCATATCTCAGCTATCTAAAGGTTTACTGCAGCGGGCAGCGCGGGGTTGAGTGCGGGTTAGGAGGCATAATAGAAACAAGGTTTAACTGCACCCAATTAACCATCACCTATAAATCCTTATCTCACACCGCCTGCAAACACTCCCTGCAAGCCTTATAGGGCTTACTGTAGCACACTCAAGTATGATGCTGGAAATAAACAGAGGAATTGGCAGGACAGTTGTCTGCTCTGTTTTAGCTCCTGCAGCAACCAAAACAAGGGAGAATGCACACTGGTGACGTAATATACAATCATTTAATTGTATCCCTCTTTTTTGAATCATCAGCGGTTGCTAATCTTTGTTTTTGGCACTGTCTGTATCAGAAAAAATACTGTCTCCTTAATTATTTCTTACAATATGAATGAATTCTGTGTCAGGAGCTGCTTTACATTGCCCAAACTACTGTTGGACGCTTCCCCATAAAGCAGAAACAACAAACATGCGTGCAAGTGCATAACTTATCCAGGGTTTAGTTAGACTTCCTGGACCTGAATAAAATATGAAGGGTGAACTAGAGGACGTTTTTCAGTCAGCAAGAAAAGAAGAAACCGTTGCTAACATTCCATCATTCATTTTTGTTTTCTGTTTACATCTCTTGCTTCTTCACAGGCGAAGTCAAAAGGGACATTTTTAAGTTAAAAATGTAACTGATAGAACTGGTTTTACAGACATTTTCTTCACTCCCTATTTGATATTCACGGGCCTGGAGCAAGCTGTAATTACAGTACAGGATTTCTTCACGCTAATTTAATCAAACTGTGTACTCTGCCTCCAGTGAAATGCTTCAAATGTGAGCTTCAGATAAAGTTCAACCTGTTAAGTTATCATTATCTCACAGTTATTTGTAGCTTAGTAGTTTGGAAGTGTAATTAACTTTCGCCACTCTAACTCACTTCTCTTTGGAGTTGAGGCATTAGTCAACCCTCCCGGCTTCAAACACCTCATAATAACCAATTTAATATCGCACTGAATGTCATTCTTACTGTGTTTAACTTACCTTTCCACCCAGTTCTTGTAGTTGGGGATGTCTTTAGCGTAGAGAAGCTTATTTGAAGGAGAGTCTTTTCCCAGCTTGTGTTCTGACGTCGAACAGGAGTCCATGAAAGTCTGGGCCACCACAGACAGGCAAGCGTCCGTGATACTGTTCTTGTGGATGTCGAATACAAACTGAGGGTTCTTGATGACGTTCACCCAGAACCGCAGAGGAAGACTGGAGAGGCAATACAGAAGAGACATTTAAGAAAAGAAAGTAACAATGGATGGTTGAATGTAACTTAGAAATATGCTATAAGAGCATGCTTTAATAAAACATAATTGGAAGTAACTGAATGCTACGGTTGCTTTTTCTAATGTTGTCTATAATACATCACTTTGTGTGCATTAAAGCTTTTTTCTGATGGTTTATATTGTAAGTATCTTGCTCAGTAGGTGCCGCTGCCTTCAGGCAAAGTACTGCTGAAGCTGACAAAAAACAAACACAAAATGTCACTCACCAGTTGCTCTTCCAGGTATGCCGTACATCGCAGTCTGTGATGGAGTGTTTGTCGGCCTGCTCGTCCAGGAAGTCGAACATGTACTTGATGGCCAGCGGCAGAGCGCTGCCTCTGTGTGCCGTGCTGAAGATGGTCTCAAACAGGTCGTCCACAAACTTCTGCAGCGTGCCCTGAAGGGAGGGACGATGAGGGAGAGGAAACAAGGGACATTAATAATGAGGAGGTAAAACTGTTCATTAAGATTACACTGTAGTTTGTTTCATGCTGCTCTCAATTATTTGACCAGTCTTAATAGGAATGGAGTTTAGTTTTGTTTTCTATCAATGCATTCGATTGTATGCCTAAAATCCAAGAGAGTTTTTTTACCTAAACGAAAAATATCTAAATTAAAATAGGAAAAAATAAATCATCATAGAACACATAATTGAAATATATATTTGCATTTATAAAATTAATAAGAAGATTAATAAGAAAAATAATAATAAATAGCACCTAATTTTTTTATTTTGTTTTGGCCTTACTATGGCAACTTTGACCTTTGTTTTTAAAGGGTTTATTGTTAAGTTTGTATTAAATATATTGATATTGGTCATTCATGTTTAGAGAACCTTTGTGTTGGCACTCGTGAATAATCCAGCCACCCTCAAAAACACTGCTCACTTAGATTTGTTATACTCCTGTTAATTACAATAAAATAATCTTAAGAAATCGCAGAGAGAAGGTAAAGAATACAAATAATTATAGTTTCACTGTGTAGTGTGACAGAATAAAGTGAACCATTTCCAGCCACTTGTATCGCAGTACCTGAATGGGCCATTAGCATGTGCATTTAATATGAATGACCCCAATGGGAATCACAGCTATAACTTTGGCTGTGTGACTGCCTCGCTCTGCCCACTGAGCTCTGCAGGGTCACAAACAGGAACGCAGGCTCTTCCACCAATGACAATGCTTCAACATAATCAAATGAAATAAAGCTAAACGAATTTCCCTAACAACACATTTGTTTCCCACTCTTTTCCATCTGGCAGAATCTATTACAGAGGAAATTTATTTAGTCAGCCATAGCCAAATGGAACAGGAATGAATTCTGTTGCAGATCAAAGAACTGAGATCTGCATGACGGGACGGGAAGCCCAGGCAAACAGACGCAGAAAGACAGACAAGGAGAGACATGGAAAAAATGAGCTTCTCAATTGTATTTGCCTCTTTTTTATTTTTTCTAACCCTACACGGCCAAATCTTCAATCCCTCAACAAACAACCTGTCTCATGACACCTCCTGTATCTGCATCCCTGCACTCTGCACCACAAGCACATTTTTATTAATCTGATTCTTCTGATTACCAGTGGAAATTGAAAAGCGTGCTCTCTTGTAAATGCTGCCCATTGCTACATTTCCATCCCCCTCTTACAATGAAGACATTAGGTGCGTTTCACTTCGGTTGAATGGATTCCTTGCGTCCCTCACTTGCGTCGTTTCCCTGCATTTAGTCCCTCCCACCAGGGACGCATGGAGAGACGTAAGGAAACCACGAGAAGCAGGGAAATGAGTTTTAAGAGCAATGGGACGTTGTTTCCTCCGGAGCGTCAAGTGAAGCGACGTCCGTTTGTGATGACGCCACATTAGCTCTGATCGTCTGACAGCAGCGAGATCAGTGCATGCGCTGCATCGTCCAATCAGTGAGCGATACACAGTAAGGGGGCGGGGCGAGTGTCTGAGGATTTCACCGGAGGATGGTCTGGTAGTTCCTCGATTATCGCTCCTCCGTTATCGCTCCTTGATCCTCGATCTTCGGTACTCCGGCACAAATAAAGCCACTGGGACGGTACTCAAGATGGCGCAGATAAAAATCAACTTCCGGTGATACCGAGACCGAGGAGCGAGGAAATGAAAAATAAGAGAAGTGAAACGCACCCATTGGTGCTCTAGGAGGAGATTCAGGTGATAAGGTGGGCGGTGTTACCTTGGTTTGTTATTGGCTAATGGTTACACAACCCTAAAAACATTGTGACATCACAAAATGGCCAGAATCTAATTAGCTAATTTTCAGACAGGTTTTTATATGAATGGATCAGGACAAAAAGAGAAATAATATTGTTTCCTGAAACTTTCCGAATCTCTTAACACAGAGGGGACACATGAACAATTGGATTTTGCACAATAGGTGACCTTTAAGTTATTTTTTCATGCCACTATATAGGACTAAATCATTTATAATGGTACCGGCAGACATTTACATTTTTACAGGCAAGATTGGTATTCAGTTTAAAGGAAGCAGGAGGTGATGTGTGTTTGGATAATGCATTTGACGTTATACTGTATTTTGTGGTTATGGCTGATACTCGGGAAGGATCACCAATGAGACAAATGAAAAAATGTATCAAGACATACATTGCTAAATAGAGTGATAGAGCATGGGAAAACAAGAAAGACACCTTGGTAATAAAAGTTTTTTTTTATCTCTGGATTTTTAACCATTAAATCCATCCACACAAGTATTACAAGTCTCCTCAAATATGATTGCTATATAAATAAAGTCCAATCAAAGTTTGTAAATGTACTTATTGTCAGTTCTAACCATTTCCTTTTTTTATCATTTATTCTTTTAATACAAAGGTATAGTTATTCTTTATGTAAAAGGACTATTTAATAATCATAGTTGTCATTAAAACATAGCACGATGAGTCGAAATATTGAAGTAGGCTGAATTGGATATCAATAAAAAAAATGGAGGGTCAAATAAGAGAAAGGAGACTGTATTTATTTTGTGATTTGGCGAATAGATGAAGAGCTCACCTCCTTCCCCCTGGAAGTTGGGGAGTGACGGGATGAGCACCTGGTGCAGGAAGAGAGGGCTGCTGTTCATCTTGATGGCCCCCGACAGAAGGCCCCCAAAGTAATAGATGTATCTATAAGAGACAGATCGTTGTGAGATACAAATAAGAGATTAACCCTAACAGATGGAGATCATGTACAAGCATCTATCAAAGAGAGGAGAAGAATGCTGACATGCTGTTCTCAGATAGAACGCCAACCGAGTTATCTTCAGAGGAGGAGGACAGGCGAGTCTAAATATTTGACGCAATCCCGTCAGTACAAAACCATTCTTGTTAGTGTCACATTTCACCTTGCAGCACTAGTGTGACTTTGGGATGTATGCTTTATCGCTTGCCCAAAGTTAAATGAAAATATAGATATCAATCAGTCGTTGATTTTCTCATATAGAAAGAGAACACAAGAAAGAGAATACTGTATGCATATTCTCCAAAATGTTAAAACGATTCCCTTGACTATTATCTTTGCGAAAGTAAACCTATTGTTATGTTTGATCCTAAAATAATAGATTAGGAACATAGAAATAAAAAAAAATTGGAGATATTTTGACACTGTCACTGTTGATGACAAACAAATGATGGCGCTATGAGTTTGTTGTTGAGAATATCCAAGTGTTTTTCCACTAAATGTACGACTTGGATACATTACAAACTTTTTGACCTACATCTGCCTGCTGTCGTAAATGAAGGTATTCCTAAAAGCATTACCAAGGGCTCCATTATATTCCAATGTACCAGTGAGCCAGCATGCAAAACACCGGGTCCTGACTCCAAAGAAAGCTAATTGGAATGCAGCCATCATTAATCTTCTTTTTAAGATGTCAAAAGTCTGCTGTGAAAAGGGAAATCCAGAAGTTATACGTATGAAGAGCTTGAAGCTACATTTTATGGTAAATGGTTACGCATTTACCAACCTCTACTATGCTGAAGGACAGCCTCAACCCACCACACCCACTACCACCACTAATCGACCCCGGCCCATTTCCCCTCATTTTATCTCGTGGCCTCTACCTGTTTTGGGACGGCTGCAGAGAAGAGGACACCTTATCTTCACAGAACTTCCTCATGGCCAGAGTACTGAGAGCCTGGTCCGCCCTGCACACACACACACACACACACACACACACACACACACACACACACACACACACACACACACACACACACACACACACACACACACACACACTTCCATCAAGGGACTTGCAGCAGAGTGAACATGGAGAGGATACAGCTGGCATTGGACACAGGATGAAGCCGTTTCCACTGTTCCTGCACTAAATCCACTGGGCTTCATTTATCAAAACAACTTATCAACAGCATCTGAATGGAAACCATTGTGCCGCAGGTACACACATCACACACGAGACACACTGTTGCTACGTTTAAGCACGTTGGAAATGTACATGTGAAATGTAATCCGATGTGTTCAATACACTTTAATGTGTGGATGTTTTATGAACATGTCAAATGGTGTTTCTTTGGATGTCTTGAACACACAAACTGAAACACACTCACCCTGCAGAGATCTTGCTGTAGTGCATGTAGGCCGCGATGATCACGCCTGTTTTACCTTTATTGCCCTGCAGGAGGAAGAGGAGGCAAAGTCACGATGTGCAGATTTCATCCTGCATAGTTGGGAGGGTTGCTTTAAAAATGTAATCCATTACAATGACTATCTACCTGTAAAGAAAAGTAATCAGTAAAGTACTAATGTTACCTGATTACTTTCTGAGGAATTTGGATTACCTCAAAATGATTTGCAATGCCAGAAATACTAGAGAAAAGAAACATCACAGTATTTTTGTTTAACAAATCAGGTGTCCACCTAATGCATTACAAAACGGATTTGAGTCTTTGCAGATCATTTATAAGCACAAAAACCTATATAACACACGACAGGAAAGGGACATCCCCGACAAATATAATAAGGCCTTTTTAATAGATAATTGGTGTTATTGTGAAGTATTTAAATGCATGTGCTTCATAATATAACATTCCTTGAACTTGAAATGAACTGTAACCGTTATCTGATTACGTATATGTTTAATGTATCTGCAAGGCAATACGGTTACCTTTGTTTTTATCCCGTTGGATGTAATCCATAACTCTCCAAAGCATGGTGGTTTGCACTACCAAAGCTTGATTGCTGTCAGTAAGAGACCCCATGGGGACAGGCAAATTAAAAGCTTCCTGTGGTTTATTTTTTCTCCCTCATTGGGTGCTCCTCAACACATTCCAAAGACATTCCAGCCTCAAATTCCTAATGTGACCCCACCAACACCCTGAGCACAAATTAAAGCCTGGTTTACTCCATGTGTCCCCCAATTGACATTTTTATATCCCCATCTAATTTCTTCTTCTTCTTCTACAGCTGTAGAGAGAAGGGCCTCTGAAGCTGGAATGTAATGGAGAGTCAGCAGACCACAGAAGCAGTCTGGTTTTAGGATTTAAATTCTCCGGACCAAAAGCAATAAATAAACATGCGGATAGGCCGAGGGAGCCCGGTCTCCCCTCGGTGTTAGCTGCTCACTTTGGTAACGCTGGCACCACTTTCCTGGCAGAATGACATCAAATGACTCACTAAACATGGAGTTAACAGAGTTTCTTGTGGATTGTAGGGTTCATTTTAAGGTGAATTTTGTGCACTTTAATAATGGTTTTCAAGAACTTATATTTCAACAGCACTATCTGACTTCATTTGTAATTTGAATAAGTGATGGAGAGATTAAAGCTGAAAACAAGCAAATAAAATAAAATGTCATCGACATACATGTTGATATTAATCCATGTTAGCATATCGCAGCATCATAAATAAGCATCTAGGTGGTTAGTTGTTTATCACGGTTATATTCTATATTTATTTTTATTCTATTCTATATTATCTCTATGTTACTAGCTTTCCGAGTACATTCATTTAGCATTAATGAGTTTCATTTTAAAGTCCACCTATCATGCTATTTTAAGGGATATATTATGGGTCTCAGACATATAAAAAAATATAAAAACATGTCTATGATGTGTTTTACTCAAAATACTATCAGATCCTGCATTTTAGACATCCCGCATATTCCTCTATTCCAGCCCTGTTAAGAGAAATGCAGATTTTGGGTCGTTGGCTTGAAATAAAATAAAAGAGGAGGCGGAGCTAATGCCTGATCAGAATTCTAAATATAGATATATATAAGTTAAATTCTGCTGTAATAAAAGGCCATCCTGTTCTAAACCACATCAAGGATTATTTCTGAAACAGTATGGAGCTCAAATTCTTTTTCTCTTGCGCGTTTATCACAAGGTGAGTTCCTTTTTTTATTTCTTGCTTTTTAAACACATGTGCTCTCCAGTACAGGTTAGCTCTGAGTGTTAGCGATGCTAATGTAAAGATATTACGTCCAAAACACGTCAGGCATTGTTTCTGATTGCAACTCTCTGTGGGTCCACCATCCGATATTACTTCAGATCGGCAGCAAATCTGTATCCGCTCGTTCTACCCCCATTTTAAAATATTTGGGTAAGGAAGAAAAGAGAAAAGGTTTTATTTTCTGACACTGCGTGAGTTCCCCGACAGACCGGGGACACATTTATGTATACAAGACATCAAAAAGTGCATTTGGCATGAGAGGTCCCCTTTAATGTTTTACTTTCTAATGTTATGCTACTTCATACTTGTACTTTAACTTTATTTATTAATCTAGCATTTATTAAGTTACTAGTCATTAAAGATTTTTGCACAGTTGTTTTATTTTATAAATAAATACAAATAAAGATGAAATAAACATTTGAAAATAAAACAAATTATTTATTGAACATTCAAAGTTAAAGTAAGAATATGCAATGAGAATAAGAGTACTAGTATTGTTGACACTTCTGTCATGGTATTGACAAGAAGCTTTATTCAAAAATAAACTGAGGTATGAACTAAATCATATTTATTTATTTAATGCTAAAAATATCCTTTTTTTTTAGAATGTATGTGTGTTTTGTACTGTATTGTAGAATTCTCTAACACTGTGGAGACTTGTTGAAATTCCCTTTTCTTAATTCATTTCAGTTGACTGTCCCTCTCCTCCTGAGTTGATTGGAGGTTATTCAGGTCACCTGTTGGTTCCTAATTATGAGCTGAAAGCAGCTTGGTGCATTTATCCTCTCAGCCAATCAGACTGTCAGGACGACCTTTTCTTGAGGAGGTGGAGAACAACACACCTTCACTTTATGCAGACTTTTTTTGCTGTCTTCATTTTTATTTTCTATTTAAGCTGATTTTGAGCATTCTGTTACCTACTTTGAGTGAATCTTAAAGAACTCCTTTGCACTAGTTCACCTGTGTCAGGCCAGATTTAACTGCCATCTGTACAGCCGTATATGCTTGCCTAAGGGAACCAGGTCTTATTTTGTTTATAGGTTCACATTTAATCAANCATCGTCCAATCAGTGAGCGATACACAGTAAGGGGGCGGGGCGAGTGTCTGAGGATTTCACCAGAGGATGGTCTGGTAGTTCCTCGATTATCGCTCCTCCGTTATCGCTCCTCTACCCTCTGGCACAAATAAGGCCACTGGGACGCTACTCAAGATGGCGCAGACAAATCAACTTCCGGTGATACCGAGACCGAGGAAATGAAAGATAACCTAAGTGAGACGCACCCATTGAATTGAGAGACACTGAAGGTGAAAAGGAAAGTTGCAAGGATCCAAAATGGACAAGATGAGTCTGTTTATCCATGTGGGTGTGTGTGTGTCCAATGGATCCTTTTGTTTTACACTATTTGGTTTGGTAAATCGAAAACATGATTAAGCTTCACCATCAATCAAGAGTGTACTACAATACAATACACCCTTCCACGCCACCCATAACAACACCTGTGGTCGCAAAGCTGATAAGTGCTTCACTGGCTTTGGATACTTTTCCCACAATGCAAAATCAGGCTCAAGTTACTTACCCCTACTGCTCATATGTTCTACGGAAAACCAAACCATTATAATTACAATAGTGTAAATTGTACTCAAACTGCAATTTGTTCCATGATTGTTCAGCCTGGGAAGGAAAAAACATCACTCTCTTTCCATTGTGATTCGTCAAGGATCAGTACTTGGTCCTTTTCCAATGTCAATATACCGTATGCAACCACCTTTTACTTGGGTAAATGGGTAATCTGCCACTTCCTTACAAAGCCCTTCCTCCAACACACACGAACGCGCACATGACCAATGAGGGGCACGAGATAAGTTTGTGCACAGATGGAAGGCTGACAGGCAGGTAGGCCATCCAGTTATTTTAGCCGGGCCGACCATGATTGGTCGTGCTATTTACAGCGCCACGGCTTCCACAGATGACATTTTTTTATGGATTTATTGTCAAAGCATTTAATATATTCATTGCTATCGGGATGTTAAGAGCATTCCATGGAATATAACAAAAGTGTTTCTGAAATAAATGTCATACCCCACCTTTAATTACCTGAGCCTCTTTTGGCCTTTAGGAGTGAAACAGCACTAACTAGAGGACGGTAGCTATCATTTTCAAGGGCAACATTTTTGCTTTCCAACGAAAATGTACAGTATTCTGATATCTACATTAAGGTTTCCATAACAGGCAGTTTGTTTTAACTTAAAAAAGTAAAAACAACCTCTATAATAGTTGCGTACAGAAGGAAGCCGCTGTAAGAATCTATTACATTTTATTTATTTAATTGAAGATAGTCAAGCACTGTACCAAGGCTTATGAAATTGGCTCTTTTCTATAGATTGATGTGTCACCTAATGCACCTGCTGCAACTTTAAAGCCGTTTGAATTGAACATTGTGATACCTGATCTATTGTGGAACTTTGTTTCTACTGAGGATTGTAACTAATGTGTTCAGTATAGTGCTTGGGACAATAGCATTCATTCATGTAAATGTTATATGTATATACCTTCACCTGGTATATGAGAACCTTAGATTCTGATGTGATTTAAAACATTTTAAGACTCCTCAATGACCTGCAGGCTCTCTTTAAAAGTCGTTTCCTAGACCATCAAATATGTGAGGTGGATCCCTTCGCCTTAAAGAGCTGTTAATGCTGAAAATATTCCATTAGGCGGAGTTTCAGTGGGGAGTTTTACTGCTCTCCAATGGTCTCAAGTGCAGTTTCAGGGTTTTTTTCCAAGCCTGACTGTAAAAAAGTGTGAAGTTTCCTCCTTACTTTTGTAGCTAGCAGCCTGGTCAGGTAGATCTCAGACACCATCTTGCTGCCTCGGTCCCCCTCCCTCTGGTCCGAGTGGTCGTGGTTCTTCACCAGATGCCACAATTTGGTTCCACTCTCCAGGTCAGGAGTGATCATGGGGGTTCGGGATCGCAGGCTGTCTGGACTGCTGGCTGTCCTCAGCATACTCTCTAAAGCCGGAAACACAAAACAGAGTTATTTGGAGGAATACGCTGATTTGTTTTTAAAGCCTTTTTATAACGTTTCAGAAACCAGCAAGTGTTTAGGGCCTGCTATTCTTCTAATGTAGCACTTAAGATGGTGTCACTTTTTTAAACTCGCAGGATCCTTGCTGTTTTGAGTTTGTATCTTGAAGGTTGATTGCATTTAATGTGTGTCGCTTTGGATTAAATGTTAGCTAAATTAAATGTGAGGTGATAAAGAAATAAAACATGCAGATTCTGTATGTCGATCACCTAAACTTGAGTGTGTTTCTTCTATGATTTTCTCTCTCTTTCACAGACTGTGACTCCCTCTCCTTCTCTCGTTTTTCCTTTCTGTCTGTTAATTAATTATTCATGGCATGAGTGTCAAAGTTGATTAGAGCGGAGCTAAGAGATGCATATCTGCGACTGTTCCATTTAGCACGGAGAGGGGAAAGAAAGCTGGGACGTGGTGGTGCGGGACAATCTCCTGACTAGCTGTTGCTCGTGGGAAAGGGGGGATAGGGAAGATGAAAGAAACACAGCTGCTGATGCATGTTGCAATGCCTCTCTATGTGGTGAAAGGATGTAGCGGAGATGACAGGAGAAGAGGGGGGTGGGTGAGCTAAATGGACAGAGGGACACAAAGGTGAGTGGGAGAGAGAGGGGTGAAAGGGAGAGTAATGGGGGAGCAGGGGATAGAAGAGTGGGGTGGTTCTACTGTTGTTGCTCTCGTGATGCTGAGTGGCTTTGATTCCAAACCCATCATGGCCACTGGTGACCAACATTTACCCGTGCTCATAAACACACCCACTCCTACACACACATATTCATGCACGAGCACACACACACCTCCACAATCACATCGTTTTAAAGATGTATTCGCTGTGAAGCAAAATAGCTACAGCGGTGCATTTGAGCAAGGTAAGACGGTAAAACATGTTGATTTCAAGACATATCATTTTCAGTGTTGCGTTTATTAGAATGCTTTAATTCTTATTTATGTCAAGTCACCTCTAACTAGATAGGCTCAACAGCATACCATATAATCTGAGGTACTTGTTTGTCAAGACTTATATATGTCTATGAGCACTATTTATACATTTACACTAAACCGCATTGCACATTGGTGTCACGTGAATAATTATTATTCAACTACATTATTTTGCGTCTTTCAGCTTTTTGTTTTGGTTTCCAGTCTGCCTATTTATTGTTTCTGTTCAGTTTCCTCACGTATACAAGTTAAGGGTTAATACAGGAGAAACGCAGGAAAAAACTAACTGTGGAGTTATTCATCTAAAATATTATAAAAGTGTGTTTTAAAAAAATAATGACATCCTGGAACTGATTTTACGGCCCTAATTGTTCGAGGGCCTAAATACAGAAATTGGATTGGTGGGGAAAAAGAGCGGTCTCTCACTCTCCTGCTATTTTCAGTATATAATCATCAAAAACGGCCCACAACGGAAAAAGCCTGTGCCTGTTTTGGGGTGCTCAGAAGCATAATGGTTAGAATGCCTAATGCATAAATGAAGGGCTTTTTGTCGCATGTTCGACCCCTGTTTCCTGTCTATTGCTACAGTGTCCAATAAAGGTACAAATGATACCCGAGAAGGTATATTCTTTTCATATTACACATGGATAAAAAAGATGGACATACTAACCTTCATTTGGTATGTTACTTTTATAAGGAATCCAGGTTGCTGTTAGTCTAGTCTAGATCAGTAACAATGATTACAGCATTGCATGCCTGAGTGTTACACCCCATTTTGTATCAGAGTCATTTATCTTTTAAATAGTTGAATTGTCCAGTGAAGTCTACCATATTGATGCAGGGCCTCTGACTATCGCTGAGTGCCAGGTGTTCTCTCTTTCTCTCGTACACTCCATCAGCTGGGTATCGAGGTGTCTACTTTAATGCCTGTCATTTACGGGCTGCTTGGAAGCGGCCCTGAAATAGCCTTGGCCTGGGCTGATAGCGATGGATAAAAAAAGGATTGCCATTCACAAAGAATGGAGCCCAATCATGGCCACGATAACCAAAGAGCAAATGGAGGAGTGAGAGGATTTGGGGGGGAGGGATGGGAATCAGTGACAGAATGATTTAAATAGGGTCAAGTGAAATGGAGAATGGAGGTCTCACCATATCTGCTGAGGCTCTTGGTGAAGGTGGAGGAGTTGGAGATGTTATAGGCAGAGTTCTGCTTTGGCACCAGGGCGATCAGTGAGCCGTCTGTAACCTGAACACCAGAACACACACAGGAATATTCAGTGGATGAACCAGCCTAGCTGTTCAAACTCTGGCTCGTGGCTGCTATTGGTGCTCGTCTGTACCTGATAGTGAGCCAGAGTGTTGAGTCGTTTCCAGTCATTGTCGATTTTAGTGGTGACATCTTCATCTTGCAGAATGATTCTGGCCATCCGACCTTGGCGCCATTCTTCAGGAAGAGGAATCAGAAGTTTAAAGTAATGAACCTTACCATTTGTTACATAACCTTGGCCAGTTACTACAGCTGTGTATCATACAGTTGCAGGTACAGTACTGAGGCTCTTACCCAGGTCCATATCAGAGGCTTTGGGCCTCTGTGAGTCGGGGCTGCCTTTGTACACCGCATCGAGCAGCTTCTCCTTGACCTGAGTGATGGTGTCGCAGTTCAGACACTTGACCGTCACCTCTTGGGCGTTCTCATTCTCTGGGTTCACACAGTGCAGCGTCTGGCGGGAAAACAAGGTGGAAAGTTAAAATGCTAATTATCCAATTTTCTGCCAACATAGTTCTCCTACTCAAAGCAATAACAAAAGACACAACTTTGTGGTGTTGTAAAGAAGCATGGGATCATGGGACTTGTCATTGCACTCATTGAGGTGAGAATCCCCTAATAAGAATTTATTAAGTGTACATCAATAACAAGATATACATTGTAGAGGTTTCCAAAACAAACTGACCGCGCAATTTTAAATTGTAACAAACAGGAATTACTGCCTCAAATCCTCTGATAACGTCACATCGAGACATTCAGGAGGTTTTTATCAGGAGCTGAATTATTGTCAGATGTTTCCTCCACCCAAAACAAACATGGTGTGTACAAACAAAAAACACCGTTTCAAGCTGTTTCTTCAATGCTGTGTGCCTACCGCTCACTTCTTCAGGTTTGGAAACTGTTGAAAACATCTGTTGATAATGCAAGTACCCATCCCTACAACATACACTGAACAAAAATATAAATGCAACACTTTTGTTTTTGCTCCCATTTTTCATGAGATGAACTCAAAGATCTAAAACATTTTCTGTATACACAAAATAACCATTTCTCTCAAATATTCTAATCTGAAAAAATCTGTGATAGTGAGCACTTCTCCTTTGCCGAGATAATCCATCCCACCTCACAGGTGTGGCATATCAAGATGCTGATTAGACAGCATGATTATTGCAAAGGTGTGCCTTAGACTGGCCACAATAAAAGGCCACTCTGAAACGTGCAGTTTTGCTTTATTGGGGGGGTCTGGGGGGGTCCGAAAACCAGTCAGTTTAACCCTAACCCTAACCCTAACCCGTCACCCATTGAGCATGTTTGGGATGCTCTGGATCGGCGTATACGACAGCGTGTTCCAGTTGCTGCCAATATCCAGCAACTTCGCACAGCCATTGAAGAGGAGTGTACCAACATTCCACAGGCCACAATCAACAACCTGATCAACTCTATGCGAAGGAGATGGGTGACATGTTAGGGTTAGGGTTTAACCCTAGGGTTTTCGGACCCCCCCAGACCCCCCCAATAAAGCAAAACTGCACGTTTCAGAGTGGCCTTTTATTGTGGCCAGCCTAAGGCACACCTGTGCAATAATCATGCTGTCTAATCAGCATCTTGATATGCCACATCTGTGAGGTGGGATGGATTATCTCGGCAAAGGAGAAGTGCTCACTATCAAAGATTTGAACAATATTTGAGAGAAATGGTTATTTTGTGTATATAGAAAATGTTTTAGATCTTTGAGTTCATCTCATGAAAAATGGGAGCAAAAACAAAAGTGTTGCATTTATATTTTTGTTCAGTGTATATAACGTAGGTCTGGTTGTTTAAGGTCATTTTAATGCTGAGATTCTACATAGTATATACAGCCAGAACACGGCCAACTAAGGTGCATTCGAATGTATATGACAGCCTTTTCACACCTGGTTTGTTTGCAGCAGCTGTTTGAAAACTTGGAAATGTTCCTAGTCCCTTCAGTTTTGTTGCTATTGTAACTCGGCCTTCACACTTGGGTGCAAACCAAAACAACCGTAGCAGACCCTGATTACAAGTAGTTACGTCTATGTTTCCAATCCCATCCTGGAGTGCTTTGTTTGAAGGGAGAACGTGATAAAAGCTGCATGGGCAGGAGTTCACGTTCTCCCTCCCAACACAAATGATGCTAAAGCGCCATGTTTACCCTTCAACCCGTTCAACATTGGCCGCCATGTTTGAGCTGCTGATGAGTTAGGGCTCGAGCTGTCATCATCAGTTGTAACTAAAGCATAATAACTCATCAAGTCATTCAGACCCTGTGCTCGAAAGTAAGAAAGTACATTTACTTACTGTAAGTACTTCGCTTGTTCTATGAGTTTTATTGTTGTATGATACAAACTTCTATTTTTTGGGAGGAAATTATTTAATAACCCATCGTTACTACTATTACTTATACTAAGTTGAGTACACGTAGCTCAAAGTTGTATTTTTACTTATTTTTAAGTACAGTACTTGAGTACATTTGCTGTCAATGCAGTGCTGTACTACTAATGTACCCACTTTATTAAAAAGTACCAACAAATTGGCTAAACTATGATAAACTATAACAAATATAATTATACCAAACATGTATTTGTTGTTGATAAAAACTGAAAAATAATATTCAATAACAATTTAAATCAGGAAAAAAGCCATCCTGCATACTGAGTATTTTTTATGCTTAAAGTATATGTTGTTGATAAAACGTTTTTTTTAACCTATTACAATCAGAACCTTTAACTGAATTGGAGTATTATTAGTATAAGACAATAAAATGTATACCCGAGTTGAGGCTCTGAGGACTTGTTTCACCATAGCTTAGCCCTGAGGCACACGGTGAGTTCACTGACCAGTGTTTTGTAGTCGAGCTGTTGTCTGATGAGCTTATCCTCGCTGAGGGAGTAGCGGGCCTCTCCTGTGATGGCGTCGATGGGGCCCTTCTCCATCTGCTGCTTGATGGCACAGTAAAGCATGAACAGAGGCTCCCCGGCACACTCCTGGTGGGGGGGCAGACAGAAAGAGAAAAGTTGCTATTAGTTTATCCAAAGTAGTGATTTTTCTTTTTACAGATTCTAACAGACCAGAAAAAAAGGAAATGTCAAGAAAATCTGAGAAAAAGGTAAAATCGGAGAAAATCTGTGTCTTTAGGTAAAAACCTCATAAAATATATAAGAGCTTATTAATGAAATAATGAATAAAAAATCGTTTTAAATAAAATAAAAAACCACTCACTTATTGTAGGACGCTTAGGATTAAAAGTTCAGCTTAATGAAATCTAATGTTAAAAATTAATCATAATAAACTACATTTTCTTCTTCCCTCCTTTCCGATGAATCATTGCATGACCTTTAAGAGGGCATACAAAAATGGTGCATCTTTCGACTTAATAACAAACTGAAAGCATTGACATCTGCTTTTCTGGCAGCTCTGGGTGATTTCTAAGGCTGTCGCAAATTAGTGTCAGGGGCACAGGGTTTTCACATTTCTTTCATTCAGTCGCAGTTCATCTGATTTGCATAGAATGTGATTAAATAAGGACTCATTATGGGCTGTTTCGATGTGTGTTGAGCATGTCTAGGAAGACATTTTGCAAGCGGTAAGAGAAATAATAAAGTAACTGTCAACGCAAAAACAAATGAGAGACTATAATTGAGTTTTTGCTTATTCATGTAAACAAACAAATACAATAACATGCCCACTTAAAGTATTACTGGCTGATTTAATAACATCACACTTTACTTGATCTGCTGTAACATTTTGAATCCTGGAAAATGTGACAATCTGTTAAAGTCATTTGAAAAAACAATCGTTTTTTAGGCTACAGTTTATTTACAGAGTAAGACTACTCTTCAGTCGAAACCTGAGTATTTAATATTATAGTATTTGTTGTCATTCATGTTAGTAGATTTGTAAAGGTGTTTTGCGATATTGGGCTATATAAATACAATCTGCTTTGATTAAAAAAAATCCTTCAGCATACCCCCCCATTAATTATCATCCATCTCAATCTTTTTCTATATTTCACATTACCCAGCAGGATTAGCATGATGCTATCAGGTTATCATGTCGTTAAGCAACAGGTCAACCAAATCACAACTTGCTTATACGATCAGACTTCTAATGGCATAAATCTAATCTAATTTATTGAATTAATTGATTCCTATTTGGGAAACTGGTTTGTCAAGGCAGCATGTTAATATGACATTGCACAATCAACATAAGTATAGTGTAAAGGAGAATTAAATAGATTTGGAAATCCAGCCTGTAAGATGCACATAGAAAATCATAAAAAAATATATTGTGGACGGCAACGGAATTTTGGTGTGAGCATCGGGTGAATGAGCCTAAATGATCACTTCCTGTCTCTGAGTTGTAAGCAGCGTTACATAAATATATCCACTTCCCCCCCTCGTCTGCGTGTCAGAGCTACAGAGAGGTTTTATATATGCTCCCGCTCTCCCTCCATCAAAGACACTTGCCAATCAATAGTGTCATTAGTCATCAGCTGGGCCCGAGGAAAACACTGGGACTGAAGCAGCGGCAGTTTAAGGGGGGTGAGAGGACAGATCACGGCCAATACTCAGCCTGACGAGAGCTTAATGATCCACCGTGCAGAGGAGACACTTCAGCCTGTGTGTGTGTGTGTGTGTGTGTGTGTGTGTGTGTGTGTGTGTGTGTGTGTGTGGTGTGTGTGTGTGTGATGCATTTGGTCCAGGTGAGAACAGGGGAGGGTGCTAATCCATCAGTCTCACCTTCAAGCACACTCCACAACTCGCTTATTCTTTCAAACACACACCTTCTCCTTTTTTTCTTTCTGTTACCATATGTTCTTTATGCAGCTACTATAAAGCTCTTAAACATCTATGTATACGATGCTCATCTATTGGGATTAATGAGCTATGAGCCGGTATTTTATGCACTGATGATGAAATAAATGGAGCTTGAAAATACTCACATAACGGCTAATCTTTAAACACAATATGGATTGTGATGTTAAAATACGACCATTTGAAACCTATCCAGAGTTGTTGATCACCTTAACAACACCAGCATTCCACATTTTCGACAAGGATGAAAGTATAATTATTACATTTGTAAGATGTCAAGGACACACACAATGTGTTTTAGTGAGAAACAGTGATTTTAAAAAGCATTTTGGTTTCGAAAAATGTCCTTTAGCCAGAAACAGTTATTCTTGACGGAGGCAAATCACTTGAATACAGGTTTGAATACAAATGAACAAGGAAAGCAGAACAACATGTCCAAATTAAGTATAGGTTCAAAGTCAACTAGGAAAGCAGATTTCTGTTTTTACTTCCCCCTATCATTACCTCAATATGCTTCCTCCTGACTTTCTTCTCCTCCTGTCCATTACAATGTTTCCCCTTTATCTCCTACCTCCTTCTTCCTCACCTCCTTCCCTCTCCTCTTCCTCCCTCCTAATTGTCATGCCCCTCTTTATTATTTCCCTCTCTCCCCACCACCTCTAACCCCATGCTCTCCTCCTTCCCGCCTCTCCCACCAACCACTCCCCTCTCCCTCCTTACTTCCTCATTCCGCCGCTTAACGAGAACCTCGTTAGCATCCGGGCCAATTAGCTGGCAGCTGCTAACGAGGCAGAGGGAGCATACATCACGATAAGCTGTTATGCTTTCGGTTCGCCTTTCGTCTCCTGTGCTCGGCTGCTACATGCCTGTCTCTGAAATTCCCTTTTCCTCCATATAGTGGCTTCATTACGGCTCCCTGATTGTATGCTGACATTTACATTACAGAGGGATAATGATGCTGTAGCTGAGGAGAGATCAGATTCTGCACCGCTAACAGCCAGCGGTCAGCAGCAATGCACTGTGGATACATTTTTCTCTAGTTAATGAAATACAAAAGTTATTGGGATTTAAGTGACATGTTTTGTGCATTGTAGCACAGAATAAATATTAGCATATTTTTGTTATGGAGACTTTTCCTTTTGGTTTTCCATAATTATGTCTGTATGAACTGCATCATTTGGATTATTGATTTGATTGGTTTAATTGTGGTGCTTTTTTTCTTGGGGAGTTGATATACATCTGTATATGTTTTTAGCTGGAGAAAAAAAGGCAACTATATATTGCTCAAATAACCCTTTAAAAAAATGTTTTTTCTTTCTATTTTTTTTTATTAAGAAAATACATTTCTGTCTTTGTCATTTTAAGCATTGTTTGTAATTATCCCTGGTGGGGTTTATTTAATCACATAGCAGAGACTATTTTATGAATAGATGCACTTTTTCCGGGCCCTTTAAAAGTGAGGATAAAAAAGTGGGGACATGGATGTTGAGGATGATGAGAGGAGGGGGCATGTGAGGACAGGCATGGCACCCCATGGCGAGGCAAATGACCTTTAGGCAGAGAGGGGACTGACAGAGGAATAATGACAGCACAGATTAAAGAGAGATCAGAGGAGGAGAAGATGTAAGATAAAGGAACGACATGGAGGAGACGTGTCGGATACAAAAGTGAAACCATGACAGTAGAGAGGATCCATGCTCCCAAAAAAACATTAAAACAGTAGAAAGGAAGAAGCTTTAATGATCTACTGTTGGCATAATTCAGTAGATAGGCAAGAAATCTGAAGATAAAATATTACAAAAAGCACTAAGATAAATGTATGGGGAAAATAATATAAGCCAGCAGCTTTTAATAAAAGCCTCTCACACGCAGGCAGTATAACAACATGAAAATACAAATCTGTGTTTTAAAAATACAGTCAACAGATTGCATAGGGATAGAAGTTTCAAAACGGTTGTTGGGCTTACCTTGAGGAACTTATACAAGAGGAAGGTAAACCAGTTGGTCAGCATCTTCTCAGCCACTGACTCCGTTCTGAAAGAAATGGGACGTTATAAAAAGAAAAGCTCTCATGAATCAACCTTGTTGCATGATTTTAAATATAAACAATGATAGTTCTGTGGACATAATAACCTCTGCCTTTGAGGTTATGTTTTTGCTTGGTCTCTAGTTTTTTTTTGTCTGTCACCAGGATTATGAAAAATGTCACAATATTTGGTGAAAGGGGTATGAATGGGCCAAGGAACGACCAGTTACATTTTGGAGTGGATTTGAATCAGGGCATACAATATATATACACACAACGCAAGCATTCTTTTTCATTTAGGGAAGTAGCCTTGGTGGAGGTATGTTCACTCCAACTCCCATTCTAGTTCGTAGAACGCTTTTTGGAGAGATCTACATCTCATTACAAGTTACAACATTTCTGTGTGGGTGTTGTATTACAAAGCTTTTTGCTTTCCTTCACTGAGACTAACTTGAAGTCTTTTTGCAGTGATTGTTCGAATGCCATTTGTTCCAAACTATTTTTGAGACAGTAGGTGGCCAATAGGGATGTGACTTCTGTACACAACTTTCATTGTTTCTGTGAGAACTGTTTCATAATATTAACAATGTGTGTTTTCTTCCACTAAAAGAACAGTGTCAGAGTAATAGAGTTTTCTCCCTCTAGCAATGCATGGTGGGAGGTTAGCGGTAATGCTAATCCTCTTTCCTTGGAAACTACATTTAATGAGTTTAGTAAAGCCTCTGCAGTGTGTTCACTGAACCTATTTCAAGTCAACAGACCTCCAAGATAGAACACTACAATATATGAAGTAAATGACAAGTCGATTTCGCTACATTCTGTGTGGAGTTTAACAGCGTTTTCTATATTTGTTTTCATCATGGTGCTCACCTCCTGAGCAGCAGCTTGGGATGGTTCTTGCTCTCCAGGTTCCTGTCGATAAGGTCGGACAGCAGCTGCTTCAGCACCCCAGTGGCGTACTCCATCTCCCCCTGCAGCGCCGTCATGATCAGGGACGCCACATTGCCGCGGTCCCTCATGGAAAATGATCTGGAAATGAATTGAAAAGCTATTTTATTAAAGATCTCCTATCATGCAATTTTTAGGCATATGTTATGGGTCTCAGATATATACAAATAAATAAAAATTATCTCTATGATGAATTTTGCTCAAAATACCGAACAGATCATGCATTTTAGACATCTCTCATATCCCTCTATTCAGCCCTGTTACGGCCCGTCCACACGGCAGCGTCGCGTGCTTCAAGTGTTGACAGAAATGCCAGCCAATCAAATCATATGCCAGTACAAGCTCTAGCCAATCAAACCGCGTGCTTGTATGTCCAGGGCAGGAGATTAATGTGATTGGTTGTTGGTCGCACGCCAGACACACCCACCGGCAAGCTTCAATGCGCGCTGCCGTGTGGACTGTTAGAGAAGGGCTGATTCTGGGTCTGTAACTGCTGGCCCCGCCCCCTTTGGAGCATGGCAAGGCAAGCTGTGAGCTGCAGAGGGAAGAGAGAGAGTTCTAACGGCAGATACAGCTAAATGCTGCCTTGATTAAACGCCATATCATGTTCCAAACCACATCAAGGATTATTTCTGAAACAGAATGGAGGTCAAATGCTTTTTTTCTTGTGGGTTTACCACAAGGTGAGTTATTTCCTGCTTTTTTACACATACTCTCTCCAGTACAGGTTAACTCTGAGTGTTAGCGATGCTTGGTAATGTAAACAGACAATATTACGTCCAAAACACGTCGTGCATTGTTTTTGATAGCGACGTTTCTGATAGGGATATGGGTGTCAGCCATTTCAGATATTACGTCATATTGGTCTCAAATCTGGATCAGCTCCGTTGTACCCCCGTTTTAGAGATGTGGGTACGGAGGAAAAGAGAGAGGCTTCCCCGACACACCGGGGACACATCTTTATGTATAAAAGACATAAAAAAGTGCATTTTGCATGATCGGACACCTTTAATAAAAAAAAATGCAATCCTTTTTCTGAGCCACATCTGAAGCTTTTCCTCAAATGACATGTGCAACAGCTGTTATTAATAATAATGCACATTTAATCTTAATCAAATGGTGTCTCACATTGTTCTAGCACAAACTATTTGGCTAAGTGCTTGAGGGTAATTGTGGAGCTGCTAAAATGTTTCTACTCTGTTTATCCATTTGCCTTTCCTGTCCTAATCAAAGGGGCAGCACGGCCTCTCATGTCACTTTCCTTGAAATGAAGCAGGTGATTTTACTTTCCAAAGTCAAATTATCCTCTTTTCCCAGGAGAACTTTTTTTGGGTCTGAATCCAATTACCTACTATTTCATGCAGTATGCTACATTTACATGATCCTATTCCCATAGCTGGAAATATCATGTGGGTAAATGAAAAAATGTATTGAGTGATTGCTAATTTTAAGCTTGCTTTGAAGTTATTTTTCAAAACTAGAAGACACTGTTTATGAAGTAGCCCAAAACCCTCTATTATTAAAATAAAGACATGTTTAAAGACAGACACCTCTGTGCCTCCAGGGTTCGTATGAACGTCAACAGGAAGTGCTTCTTGGTCAGCAGCTGGCCAAACAGCGTCAGAGCCTTCTCAACATTGGCCTGGACCTGAAGAAACACACAGAGAGGGAAGAGTTCAAAGAAAAACAAATACAAATGTAAAAACATGTTATTATTATAATATGAATGTGTGTTTTCTCTGCCTTTTAAAATTCCCAGGATTTTTTCAAAGAACTCACTCTAAATCTGAGTTTAAGTTTATAAATAAATAGTTTAAAAAGCCAATATGCAAATTAGAAAGGGATGCTGATGTAGCTACACTTTATTTGTGAAAAACCCTGAATAGACACAACTTTACTCACTCAAGACATCATATGTGGGCCAATGTAGATACATACACAACAACCCTCTTAAAATGTTATTTTGTCTTAAATATCTGACTTTAATCCAAGTTTGTTTCTTGCAAATGTACGAGTATAATATCAGGGGAAAAATAGTTTTATTGTTCATCTTTGACGTTTTGTTCTAATAAGTTTACGACTTTAATTTAAATCCAAGTTTATTTCCGGAATTGTACAACTTTAATCTTGGGAACTATTTGAGTTTCTTTCTCAGAATATTACCACTGCCATTTTATTTTTAAATTAAGTTCCTTGAACAGAAAAAAATGCCAACGTTTAATCAGACGGGTTTGAGGGAGGAAGAGATGAAGAGGAAGAGCAGTGTGTGTGTGTGTGTGTGTGTGTGTGTGTGTCTGTGTGTGTATGTGTATGTGTGTGAGACAGAGTTGCTCCCTGCTTGTTCCACTGGCTGGCACCTGTCACTACCCATCAACAACACCCTAAACCCCTGAAGACGCCTCCCTGTCGCTCCTTCTTCCTCTCCGCTCTAATTCTCTCCCTGGCACTTATTGTTGACTGTTTCACATCATTGCTCTTCCTCCCATTTTAATTTCTCCTGCTCTTTGTCTTTGTGTGTCTCTCTAACACACACACACACACACACACACACACACACACACACACACACACACACACACACACACACACACACACACACACAGCAGAATTTTCCACATGGCTTTCCTCTCTTTATCTCACTTGCTTTTTCATCTGTTGACTTCTCGGTCTGTCTCAGAAACTTTTGACTTTTCTCTAGAGGTTTGGTTCGGATCATTTCCCCTCATGACTTCATCCTCTGCCCACCGGCAAAAACACACTTTTCCACTTCTTTCTTTCTCCATCCATCTCCACCTGTTCCTGTTTGATTTAACATAAAGCTTCCACACACGTTCTCCTGTATTTCCCCTCAAAGACACTATTTGCTTCCCTTGATCGTACCGTTTTCTCACTGCATGCCATCAATAATATAAATCTCCCTCTTCATATTGAATAATAAAATACTTTTCTTTGAGCCCAGTATCGCGGCTTGTTAAGTTAAAAGTATTTGATCCTTTTTCATGTGTCTACACATCGCCTTTGATCCAAGGCCTCATCTTCAGCTGAGGAGAAACGTAGACAGATTCCATTTTGTTGATACTGATACTGAAGTAGAGTTGAATTCTACAGAAGCAGAGAAACTGATTTTTAGTATGCCGTTAACTCAGGATCACAGGTTAATTATTTAGTTTAGTTTTTGTTGATTCACAAAGAGGGACATTTCTCAAGTTAAATTACCACGAGAAAATACGTTTAGTTTTCTTGGGCTCACAGGTAATTACGGAGAAATCGAAAATACGTTTTTGAGATTACAACTAATTTAGGGTTTTAAGGAATCAGGACTGGGGGGAGGATTCATATCTGAACATTAGGTAAAGGCATAGATGTGTGTTTAATTGATTTATCTGCATGTGTTTTAGTTAATTATATGTATCAGTTAGCTGTGAAATAGTGGATACAGCCACAGGAATGGATAATTTGTTGATAACGTGAACAAACTGCAAGAAAATAAGAACTGCTGACCGATAAAGTACATTTGTCTCGGAAAACTGAAAATCGAAATATGACTTTATATCAAAATAAGACAGAAAGTAGACAAGTTCAGCCTCCAAACCTGATTCAAAGACTGTGAAGTAGTGACTAAATGTCTTATCTTATACAGGACATATTAGGCAATTCATCTTCAGGGTAACATGAAGAATTAGAAATGTCCCGATCCGATCACGTGATTTTCAAAAGATCGGAATCAGGAGAAAAAAATCGGGGATCGGGATTTTTTTATTTCAATTTTGTATTCAATGTTACAAAACAAAAATGACCATGTTCAAGTCTTAAAGTCATCCTGAGGCCTTAGTTTTGTAACATTGAATACAAAATTGAAATAAAAAAATCCCGATCCCCGATTTTTTNTCTTAGCCTAGACCTTTTTAACCATAGCCGATTAACAGTTTTAGTTTACTAGCCTTAGCCTCTCGTTTTTTTCCACCTAGCCCTGTAGGGATACTTCTTACAGACATAGTTTCACGTCTCGTTAGGGACGTTGTCCTTCTGTAAAGTCGATTTAGTCTCTCCAGTTGCCAGTCACCACCGCGCTTCTAATTTCAGCTCTTAGTTGAACTAAAAGTCACTTCTTACGTAGGAGACACCCGCTACTTACAGACACCCATTACAGCAACTTAGGTAGGTTATCAACAATCTAATTGTAAAGTATGACATCACTTGTTAACTTGCAAAGCATACGTCCAATTAATACCATCTTGGAGTATTTAATTCCCTTAGCCAAGGTACAATTAAGTGAACCTAAATATCGTCTAGTGTTAACACCCTCCCCATCATACAGTATTCGACTTGTAATTATACTTACAATTAGAAATTGTTGATAACCCACAGTATCATTAAGAGAAAAAAAAAGCATTCAAGTTGTCCCTTAAGGTTATTTTTTTATTTAAATTGGATATTCTATCCAACATGGATATAGCTTCTTTCTTTCACAGCAGCATTGGATCAGTTCAGTTGTGCAGCATTGGATCAAAACAAAATAAAGCTTATCAGTACTCGTTAGCTTACTGCTACAATTAGACACTGCGCCCACTCTGTTGCCAGATTTGAGAGAAATAAGCAACCAGGTCTATGAAAACAAGCCCCAAAGAAGCAACACATACATGATGTTGTGTAATTTGAAACCAAAACTAAGGCCTCAGGATGACTTTAAGACTTGAACATGGTCATTTTTGTTTTGTAACATTGAATACAAAATTGAAATAAAAAAATCTTTAAAAAAAAAAAATCCCGATCCCCGATTTTTTTCTCCCGATTCCGATCTTTTGAAAATCACG